AGAATTACCGTAGGTCTTGTACATTCGTTACATGAGGTCACACAACTCGGGTAATTTCACGGTGAAAATTTGCATATTTGAGCGGTCGAACGAAAAAAATTATTTCTCGAAAACTAAAATAATTTTTTACAAAAAAGCTACACCACAATTATTAGAACATATTGGGCTACAAAATATAAAAGTAGGAGTGAAAACAAATTTGGGTGACTTGCCGCTGTTTGTTTGATGCATGCTGACATTAGCTTTTAAGAGAGATTTCGTATTTAAGTAGCAAAGATCACGGACTTTCTTAAAGACACCTTTATTATATGCAGTTACGACAGGGGTTACCGAGTTTAATTACAGAAAAAGCATTTCCAGCAAGAGGATAATCGTGAAACAAGAGTAGCCAGAAGAGAAAAACTAGAGAATAGAACAGGCTTAAACACGAGTTGAAAATGACTTCTCTTTTTAATTTTCTACGCTTATCAGAGGAGTTTGAAACGTTAGAGAAAAACGGTGGGGCAAGCAGTTCTACCTGGAAACTCCAAAAGAAGCTATCAGAGAAGCTCCTACGATTCTGACGTACACGTGAGATCAGTTGGTCCTGCACACTCCTCAATCGACCGGCGATGTCTTAACGTGAAGTAGTTTACCGTCGTTTCTTTCAATTTTGGCTCATTTTCCCAAACAGAAATTATCAGTCATGCTCAATTGAACGTAGTTTCAACTGATGCTGACATCGTAAACTTCATCCGAAGAAGAAAACATTCCTTATCTTCGAAAGTATGCTCAAAACATCAGGAAAAATAATGAAGGTCCTCAGCTACTCGAAAATACCGCATGCGTTTTGATCGCTATCAATCTTGGTCCCTAAATCCCCTTGAAGAAAATCATCGTCGGTTAGTGCTGAAGAGTTTTATTGCATTTTTTATCATAGCGAGGGGCTGGAAAATAAATTAAAAGGCTCCGCTTTTAGGCTTGGCCAAATATATATATGTATATTATGTTAAATTTTCACGCAACGCTTTCATCGACACAACAACGCCTGGGGGATAAGTTTCCATATAAGTTGGTTCGGCCTATTGGCTGATACCGATGAACCGGAATTGGCTGAACCGATCAGAAAACAGAAATGTAATATCCAAAACCGATAATTCAATAATAGTTATTCTGCTTAGCTTGCCATCAGTATAAAATAAAGTGGCGAAGCTGTATTTGGTGAAAACTAGCTACGGTTTCCACTCACATTAGACAGATTTTAATCTCTGATTGACCTGAATTAATTGTTTTAAGTGGTATATCTCGGTGAAAACCTCTGCCTTGTGCTTCTGGTCTGCGAACATATATTTTACCGAACAACAGAATGAAAATAATTGAAAATTTTTCATGTATTTTATTATGCATATCTCTTGGAATTGATCAATTTAGAAACAAATAACAACACCTCATAGCCAAATTAAGTAAATAGTTCTGTATTTGTTTGAATAAAGAGTTTTACAGTTCTATTAATATGGTATACATTCTTCACATATCCGCTAAACACGAAGACAGTCAAAAATAGTTTTCTTTGTTTTTGCCCATAAATGATTCAGCTTGTTTCTTCCACGGTGTGGAACTTGAAATAGGTAGGACAGGAGAGGTGAGAGTTTATATGTGTATCACATAATTTTATTGAGAGGTTTGAAACACCTGCAATTCCCTTGCATAGGCAACACTTTAGGAGTTCTTGGATACTGACACCGAAAAGGTTTTGTAGGGGTCACTCCGGTCTTTTAGGTATGTACCGTGACCTACTTTAGATTAGACTTAGTTTCTAAACATACAAGTAGCTAAATACGAGCTTATATGGCAACGCATTGGCATCGGAAAGGTAAGGAAATAAGTTCAATCGGATGTGAATAATGATTGTTCGCATTTACATCTTAAAAGTCATATCTAACTTTGTTTAGCAAGAAGCTTAAACTCACGAGGTGAACAGTATATGAATTGAAATACGACACAGACAGCTAGCTGAGTGCGTTAAAATTTTTCGCACTAACATTAAGGAGATATAGGGGAAACAGCTGTTCAGTAATTTTTCGCTTTAGTTCGCACTAAGAGTTAGATAGAGTGACAAGGAATTGTTTCGACAAAATTAACGAACGTATTTAATTTTAGCAGACAGGTTTTTACGCATTTGATTGACAATTAAACTAGGAATATGAAAGGTGATCTATCATTACAAACACATCCGTTTTGCTTAGCGAATATTCATTTTACCGCTTGGAACAGAAAATAAAGATGGAAAACAAAAACAGTCTAGAAACAGGCATACAACTCGAAAACAAAGCAAAACAGAAAGACCTGGGTTGGAAAAACTGAGCCGCTTTCTATCAAAAGCACCTATCAAAATATTTGTTTTTCACGATGATAGGTATAAAACTAATTTAAATAATCATTAACATCTTAGGTAAATACTAATGCATTCAATCATTGCAGAAAAGGTTTTTAAGTTTCAGCAATACTTTCTATATTCTTCAATAGTCACGCCAAAGACTGAGAACCGAAACAAATGATTCCTCCCTTTCTGTAGTTTGCGTCTTCAGTACGGAAAAACCTTGAATAGTCAGGTAGAATTACAGAAGTAGACTTAAGAAAGGATTTATGATGATTTTTTTCCTTTTCGGCACTGACGGTTACTTGTGAAACATTTCACTCCAGGCAGCTGGCGTAACCTGGCCAGAGGCACATGCAACACCAAATAACCTTATTTGAATGCTATTCGATTTTATAAAATGATAAGGCCTGGAGAGTCTGCGCGGTCACTCTTTCAATAAAATATCTCTAAAAGTCTTGAAATGACCTATTGAGGTTGTGGATCAGAGCAAATAAAAAATGCCTGCAAATGGACACCACTCGAAGGGACTGGAACCTAAAACCTTAAGTAGAAATACCAAAAAATCTCATTAAAATGACTATGCTTCGTAATCGATAGGACGATGCAATATTTCCTTGAAAATCGCTTTTTATACCATGCCAAAGGTGTCCTCACTGTAATCGGTACACGACTCACCAGCCCGAGGAATTAGAAGTATATGGGTCGTTTTGACTCATCAAAGTCTTAGTTTTTGCAGAGCGACTCCCATGCCTCTGATTCTTAAGCAAAGCTCAGCTCTATGCTTTGTACTCCGATTGAGGACGCTCTTTCAATCAATAAGAACGCGCGTTATATCCGAAGTTTATTAAAATTTTGCATATAACAAAACATTTTATAGTAACCGATAGGTTTTGTAATAACGGTTGCGGAATTTTGAAATAACGTACGTAATAGGTTTTGAAATGACCAGGGATGTGTTTCGTCGTTATCTCTAGCACATGCCTCTTTCAAAGAAGTCACATGAATGAATAAGAATGTAACTGAGGAAAACTATTCGAAAGCTATGGACTGTATGAACCAGGGCCCAGAATCTCGTGAGTAAGTAAGACATCTTTGCAAGAGGTATCACAAAATACCTCAGAACAACGACATTGGAGGTTAAAGGAGTCACTCACCCAAGACCCCACCCAAATAGCATTAACAATGAAAGTTAAATTAAAATTCTCGAGTTAAGAATGCATACAATCAAAACGCACAGTTGGTGGTCCAACCGCTGCATATTTCTTCGATCTTTGCTTTATCATCCTCGCCCTGTAAATCCGGATATAAAACTAGTTCTGTATAACCGGAAACTTTTCATCGAAGCCTTTACTTTTTTACTGAGCTCAAAATTTGCCATTTTTCTTAATCCATATAGCCGCAAAAAGATTTTAAGAGCACTTATCCTTAAAGTATGAGCTGGGACGCCAAGTCATTCATGAACGCAGCAATAACCTCGCCTCGCACATATTCTCTTCAAAACCAACTTTCATTGCGACTGAATGCCGATTTCGTGCTTTGTTTTTAAAGAAGACTAAAGTCAAGATGGGAAGAGTGATTTGAGATAAAATAAAGAAACATTAATGATTTGAATTTCAGCGCCATGAAGTAGATGTAGCGGTACTGACACGAGGAAACATCCAATGAGTTGTTATTCGCCAGAGCTTGTACTTAGAACCGTACACATTGATAGAGCTATATTTTCTCGGACTAGCGACAGTTCTCATTTTCATAAGAAAAGGATTGTTTCACTGATCAGTTCCAAAGGTGTACTGTAAAAACAACTCTGTCATTTGCTCAGCGAAATATTTATTTTACCGCTGGAAAAACAAAACGAAACCAAACAGAACAAAAAAAAAAAAATACAGATGAGAAGTACGAGAAAAAGAAAAAAGCCTTTTTGATACGCATATACATGTTCGTTTTTCATATTTGATCATAAAAGAAAGGACTGAAATAGTTAAAAATCTTTTAAAACCAAAGTACTGTTGTATTCAGCCTTCGAAAAAGGGCTTCACAGTAAACGCAGTAATCGCTATTTTGAGTTAAATCATGAATTGATCACATTGATCTCGCCTACCCAAATTTCCATGGACTTCTACTGGTTTTTTCTCAATCTGAGTAATGTAATGATATGCGTTTATTTGCACTCCAGAGAATCTGATTCCCTATTTATTCACATGATGCGAAATCATCTACCGTCCGTTAACATTGTTTCATTTTTATACTTTTGCTCTCTTTCAGTGTTTTCGTCAACCCTCGTTGTTCATCATAATTAATCATAAACGACAGCAATGCAACCTCGAAGTTTCCTAAACAACACTCCGACGATGGACTCAAGACCTTGAGCAAACTTCTTCCAATTGCCATAGCAATATTTCTGGCTAATGGACTCGTGTTTGTCTTGTTTTACCGATGTAGTCGTCTTCGCACCTCTTCTAACTATGTGCTTCTCAGCCTGGCAATTTGTGACTTCAGTACTGGCGTTATCGCTATTCCATACTTCATTGTTTATAATTTTGGCATTTTGCCGTCACAATTAAGTATTGGGGTATACGTCTCGCATACATTACTAGCTGCATCAGGTGCTTACCACATACTCTTTATTACTGGGCTCAAGTACATGGCAACGGTCAGTCCACTGAAACACTATTTGGTGACTAAGAGCTTGGTTTTGAAAATTGTGCTCGGCGTTTGGATCACTTCGACTGCTTTTGCTATCATTCCTTTTGTTCTGTATGATGCTGAGGTATCTACGCGTTGGGACGTTTTTTATACTGCAGTTTGCTTCGTTGCAGTTTCCCTTTTCCCGTACATATTTATGATTTATGCATACATAGCCATGTTCAGTGCAATTATTAAAAGGCAGCGACCACCTTTGATTCAGAATAAGAACTCACGGGAACAGAAGAAAAGCGAAAGTGACAGGAAGTGTATCTTGGTTTTCGCAGCCATGGCGATCATGTTTGCCTGCTGTTGGTTCCCTTATTTTATCGTCATGCTATTATTCCAAATAGGATTAAAAGATTTGCATAGCGTCATTGAAGCTTTTGTGGTCATTCCATATTGGCCAACCCTCTTCTCTACACGTTTTTCAAACGCGACTTCTGGTCCACCTTTCAGAATCTGTTGCAAAACAAGGAAAACGTCCGTTCTTCTTCTCAAAAAGGTCAAACGGGGTCTCTTAATCTCACGAACCGATTAAGATCCAAATCAAGCATCAACAACAGAAGGTTGACGACTCTCGAAGAAGAAGGACAAGAACCAAGAATGATTCGCGATAGGAACATGACCTTTAGTGACGAGACATTCCATACCAGTTGTGTTTAACTGCTTGCAGGGAATGAAAGAAGAACACAGACTTAGTACCTCATTTATGAGTCAAGGGTTACTGCTGAATCGCCATTAAGAGCAGTTGTGTGGTTGAACTTATGCATGACCTTCATGTATAATACACGCGCGAGACGGTTTGTTAGTCTCCATTTATACTCAAGAGTAGAGAGAGGCATTGTAAAAGGTTTTTCGCCCAGAAACACAGCACAAACGAATAAAAAAGCTGGACTGAGTCGTTTGAATATATTTAAGTTTATTAGGCCAATCACATTGAAGAGATGAAATTGTCGCGGTAAAAACAAGCTTCATCAATAGCAAGCACAAAATTGTTATCATTTATTTTGTGTAATATCATTATCAAGCGATTAATAATTCGATGAAGTATTGACGCTGCTATTGTGTCTTCAGATACATATGGTGTTTGCTAATTCAAGTACCTTACGACGTGTGTCAAAATGAACGTGTTAAAATTAATCATTAGAATATTTGTAATTTATCGTTACCACGTATATAAAGTGTATGCTATGAAAAATGGTTAAATTTTAAGCTCTATATAGCCCTTTCGATAAAAAAATCGTTAAAACAAAACCAAAGCCGTTCCGGATTACCCTCGATGGTCAATTAAAACTTTTTAAGAAACACTCTCCTCTTATATAGGGCTCTTCAAAGCGAGGTCGCGTTCAAATTTGCTGCTTTATTGATTATCGCCATTAAGAGCAGTTGTGTGGTTGAACTTATACATGACTTTCATGTATAATACACGCGCGAGATGGTTTGTTAGTCTCCATTTATACTCAATGGGAAATGTGTCAACTTAACCTTTAGCAATTCTAGCCAACATATTTGATTGACGGAAGTCTAGGAAAAGCAACAGGAAGTTCTAAGCCATATTTTCAGGGTACAACGACAATTTTATCTAGGATGGAAGATGCCCATGGTTTGAATAGGTAAGTATTTTGTTCAATTTTAAAATGAAATAAAAAAGATAGTTTAAGACATATAATTCATTTTTAGTTTTTCGACACATCGATACAAAAAGTGAATTCCAAATTTGAGAGTTCATAAGAAAATTTACCTTTTCACTTACGGTCTAAAGATTGCAGGTACAATAATTTACATAGGTGAGATCAATGCTAAGATTACTAAGAAAGATTTGGTAAATACATTAAAGATTTTCAGTTCATTTTCAATTTTTGCTGGATACTTCATTAGTATTGTAACAAAAATTTAGGTAACAGTTCCTTTTTTTCCCCATGCATATGGACATCACAGGTTGCAAAAAGGAAACTCAGTTTTTTCTGTGAGCTTGTACAAGCATGAATATTATAGCATTTTGTTTCTGAAATGGCTTGAGCAAGAAGCTCATCTTTTAGATTCTGGCGAAAACTTTCTCGGCCAACGGCAAAGCAATATTTACATATATAAAAGGAACTTTCTTATCTTAGTGGGAAAACGAGACGAATGTCTTTATACGGGAGCATTGATAAGACAAAGTTTTTTGTTGCTACCAAAACTTTTGGATTAGGTTAAGTTCACTTTCAGTCTTTGGAGGTTTCCAGTTTTTGATATTCCATAAAACACATTCATTACAAGTACGATTATTTCAAACTTTCTGGCTTTTTCAAATGTTTTCACTAGTCTTTTTGGTGACTTTGGTGTCTTATTAGCCAACCAGTTTAGTTTGAAGAAGTGAAATTAGCAGTGTTTTTTAAATAGACAGGTTTGCATACGCGTCGCTTCACTGTAATGGTTTTTGAGAAAGCGTTCTCTTTCTGATGAATAATTTTGTTATGAGATAAAGTAATAAAGACGCTAAGGACATAATTTGTGGGATATTACTCAGAAACCTTCATTATTCACACTTCTAACCTTTAATAGTATCAACTAGGTATGCCGATCTGACTTGTAAAACCATGCATAGTTTTAACCAATATGATATCGATTCAGATAGACTGTTATTATTAAACGACTTAAAAATATACTCCCGCAGGAAATTCACCACTATGATTGAAGGAAAAGGGTATTGACTTAATGTCTGTCGTCCTAAGACAATTAAATAATTAGTTTGGTCTTCAAATTCAACTGATTTCATCGATTTCAGTCGACTGTTCAAACATAAACAATGTAGGTGAAAAAGAAAAAACCTGTCTCATTTTATGTTCCACTACAAAGAAAGATCAAAGAGACATTCAAAATTCTTATTTAAAAATTTTGATAACATCAACCACGTATTTCACTCCGAACAGTACAAATCACACGCATGAATATATATTTTTTTTATTAACAAGGAAGTTATCAATTCTGGCAAACTGTTGCTTATGATCAAATGAGACAAAGTATGCATTTGATCATCTGCTACATTCAGACCTTTCCACCATTTATTTTCCGAGCAGTTTAAACAAATTAAAAGTGTTCCCGTCCACTTCACCCGATTGTTCATACAAAAACGATGCGACGAGAAAAAAAACCTTGCGAAAAAACCCACTTTTATTTGTAAGACAGGATAACCTACCTCTAGGATTGATAGACATTTCGTGCATTTTTACTGGTTTATGTTCAAGTGATGACACTTGTTGCATTTCCTTATCTGCCCCCTCAAATGGCTAAGTAATTTTTTTTCAAATTTTTACTGGGGTAGTAAATTAAGTATCTTCCTTACGATTGGTCGTCGGCATGATAAGTCGTCTTACCATATTTCTCACTCAGATCAAATATTGACACTTCCTTTAAATTGAGGAAGTCGAAGCTCTTTTTTTTACCCTTCATCTAAATTCTTTACTACACGGTAAGTCGCAAGGTAAGTTGATTCTATAGATTTTCTTTCGAAGCATCAAATTGACATCAATTTAAAGCTCCGCTCGTGTTTTGTTGAAAAACAACGTCAAAGCAATGAAGAAAGTAATTTAGACATGTTTGCAACGAAAAGCTTCAAATATAACGTGCTACAATAGCTACATTTTTTTTTTATTTTTGGAAATGGTCTTGCACATAAAATTGATTCAACGGAATTGGTATTACATACAACATGTTATGTTTTGGGAAGTCTCATAAAGACGAAACTATCTCCTTCATGGAGAGGCTCTAGAGGGTTAAAAAGCTAAAAGCCATCAAAGGGCAATAAGCAAGGTTCGGACCATCGCTTTTTGTAGTAAATATTATCAATATAATTTTTGTTACTGAGCTGAGGCTCCACGATGGGAGGCGCTCGCCAGTGATAATTTAGCTTTGCCTTTGATTTTCTTCAATTTGCTCCGGTAAAATCTCTAAAAATTTTCACAATTTGTGAAATTTGTCTTGCCAATCATTTAAAAGCCGAAAACAATTGGGGTTGCAGAGGCAGTTTCCTCGCTATTTGCAATTTCGTGTTCTATCCCTCTATCTTAAATTTGGTTTTAGGAATTTTTTGAAAACAGACAGTATGAAGGGCACAAGTATGTCTAACAATCTAGCAAATCTTAGGAAATTCCACGTAAAGGAGACGCGATAAATATTGCTCGAAAGATCCGTATTTGTTTGTTGCGAAACATTACGTTATGGAATAGGACTTTGCCAAGAATCTGTATCTGAGCATGCGTTAACTTTCAATTCTGTCGCCTTTTGGAAATCTTTCCCGCAGTGTTTTCTTTCGGTTTACCTCTTTTTCAGGCGTAGAGGACCTATGAATATCACGGATACAGTTGCTGGAAACCCTAGATTCCATGACATAAAAACTGCATTGTGTTACACTGCTTAACACACCCCTTTAGATAATAATCGTGCGATCGTAAGGAACTGCCCTGTTTGTTTTGCACGTTGACACTTTTATACTTGCGCTATGTTCGTACCCAGATATCGCGCGGTACAAAAACCCTATGGAGCCTCCTTAAGTCGAATTTCCAACTCTCAGGCGCCAATTATTTCTTCTCTATCGGACATTTTTTCCAGAACAACTCATTTTTAGCGTCCATGAATATTAACTGACTATAATACAAACTTCCCGAAGGCAGAAAGGTCTTGAACAGTTCTTAAGGCAAAGTAATGAACTCCATTTTTCATTCTCAGTTTTGATCATGACTTGACAGTTTCAACTGTTACAACCCAACAATGATTAAAACAATATTATCTCGTAATCTTGAAGGCAGCGAATCTTAGGGAAGAAAAACATGAAGTGAATTTATTTCAGAGCAGCATTTATACGCCGAAACCATGATTTTCATATCTGCGAGTGAAAAGTTCATGTCGAATTTTGACACTGAGATTTCAAAGAGTAAGCTAATCATTCCAAAACTGTGTTGAAATTGGTCAAAATTTGCAGTTTGCAAGTGACAAAGCTATGCTTTGCTCCTCTTTTCTAACTGATATCGAAACGGTAAATCATTGGGAAATTATGAGAAAATTTTCAAACTAAAATCCCAAATTACACCTCGCGGCATTATCAAGATCTATTCACTTCTCAGCAGCCGAAGAGACAAAATTGCGCATCAAGAGTTTAATTTCTTTAATATACCACTCATCGGTATATTGACAGAAATAAACTATTCTTTTGTTTTCTAAATGGTATAAACCAAAAAAAAATAACCTACCTCAACATCGGTAAAAGTGTAGGATATTCATCTCACCGCTTCACAGCTCGGTAAATATCCGCATCTAGTCACCTCCACCTCGGTAAATGATCGTGAAACAGTGGAGATGATCACTATATGGTTTTTAGAGCGTACTTCTTTAACTTCGTTAGGCAATTTAAGATTTTCTTCACACGTTTTTCAAACGCGACTTCTGTTCCGTCTTTCGGAATCTGTTGCAAACAAGGAAGACGTCCGTTCTTCTTCTCAAAAAGGTCAAACGGGGTCTCTTAATCTCACGATCCGATTAAGATCAAGATCAAGCGTCAAC